TGAGACTCCAACTCAAAAAATAAGAATAAAAAATAAAAAATCCAGAATGAAATGTAAATTTTTCCTTATTTTCCTTCCTTTTCAAGTTCTGGCTGCATTGGCAGTTAAAAACTTTAATTTTTATCTCTCCAGTCTTATAAGACTGCCAAAAGCCCTATGATTCTTTACCACCTGGCAACAGCTATATGCCCCAATTCTCAGCCTTCTGCCTTGTGCCAAGAACAAGAATAGCAGATGCCTCAAGAATTACAGTTTGTCGAATATTGGATTACTTCTCTGTGGTTTCCTTCTCTCTAGGATCTTAGCCCTCCATTACTTGATTGTTTCGGTACCTCCAAATTGATTTTTAATTTTCTTTATTGGACTTTCTTTTTTCTTTTTTTTTGGGGGGGGGTAGGAGTCTCACTCTGTTGCCCAGGCTGGAGTGCAGTGGCATACTCACGGCCACTGCAGCCTCAACCTGCTGGTGGGCTCAGGCGATCCTTCCGCCTCAGCCTTCCAAGTAGCTGGAATTACAGGCATATACCACCACACCCGGCTGATTTTTTTATTTATTGTAGAGATGAAGTCTCATCATACTGTAGAGACGAGGTCTCATCAGGCTGGTCTCGAACTCATGAACTGAGGTAATCCTCTCACTTCCACTTCCCAAAGTGCTAGAATTACAGGTGAGAGCCACTGCACCTGGCTTTACTGGACTTTCCAATTGTTCTTGGTGAGAACATTGGTATTCCCAAAGTTTCTCTGTTATAACCAGATGCTATGGTTACATTTTAATGTTTTAATTATATTACTTAAAAATGTTAATGGGACCAGGCCTGGTGACTCACTCCTGTAATCCCAACACTTTGGGAGATAGAGGTGGGAAGATCACTTGAGGTCAGGAGTACAAGACCAGTCTCGGCAACATAAGGAGACCCTGTCTCTATAAAAAAATTTAAAAATTAGCCCTATGGGGTGGCATGCCTGTCATCCTAGCCACTTGGGAAGCTGAGGTGGAAAAGCTGGCTTGACCCCAGGTTACAGTAAGGGATGATTGCGCTACTGCACTCCAGCCTGGGTAACAGAGTGCTTCCCTGTCTCTAAAAAAGTAAAGTAAAATGTTAATGAAAGAGTAATGCATGCACACAATAAAAACTACACAAACAGTAATAAAAAGTCTTCTTTCCTCACATGCTTCATGTCTTTTTCTCTGAAGACAAAGTTACATTAGAACTGTATGCATCTGTCTATATATGTCATGTGTGCATATGTACATGTATGTATATATCCCTCTGTTAATATGTTTAAGTTTTAATTATAAAGTATTTCAAACATGATGAAAAGAATAGTGAAATAGCAAAAATCCTTGCACCCACAATTTAGGTTTTACTGTATTTCTTTAGATCCACTTTAAAAAAAAGTATAACATTGTTGAATCCCTATCTTAAAAATCTAATTTTTTTACAATACTTTTTTTCTTTTGGTATTTATCCATGTTGATACATGAAGATCTCTCTTCATTTTAATATATATATAGTATTATATAATTACTCCCATGCTAACCCCCTTGATTTTGTTGCTTTTTTCTTTTTTTTTTTTTGCCTTGGCATCTCACTGTGTTGCCAAGGCTGGAGTTAGTGGCATGCACATGGCTACGGCAGCCTTGACCTGCTGGGCTCAGATGATCCTTCTAATTCAGATTTCCAAGTAGCCGGAACCACAGGCATGCACTGCCATGCCCAGCTAATTTTTTGAGGTACTGCTGAAACGAAGTCTTGCCAAGTTGCCCAGACTGGTCTCAAATCCCTAGGCTCAGGTAGTCTTCTCACCTCTGCCACCAAAGTGCTGGGATTAGAGACATGTGCCCCCACTCCCAGCCTATTTTGTTTTTTCACATAAATCTGTACTTTATGTTCTAGACTTTACATTTCTTACAAAACTTTATGTTTAAAATATGTGATACTAAGAAAGTTTATTTTGTATTCCTTCTCAATTTGGAAAACTAAAAATAAATTATTGGGGGACAAGTGTATGAACATCTTTTTTAAAATAGTTGTTCTACTTTATTATTATTGTTACTAATCCTTTACTGTGCCTCATTTACAAATTAAGCTTTATCAGAAGTATGTATGTATGGGGAAAAAACATAATGCATATAGGGTTCAGTACTGTTTGCAGATTCAGGCAACTTCTGAGGATCTTGGAATGTATCCCCAACAGATAAGAGTGTACTACTGTAGTTCCATTTCACAGAAGATAAAATCAAGGCACAAGTCAACTAACAACTATAAATATCAGAGATTTGTAGATTTGTACTTTCGCAATGCCTAAACTGTGGCATCAGTGTTCCTGGTTGGAACTCTGAGGCATCAGTTCTTATCACTTTCCCTACTGTATAGGGAACCTCTTCTTTGACCCACACCCTTTACTATTAACGGATCCTTCCAGATTATCTTCTACATTCATTTAGCAAAATTCATCAATTATTTAGTGCTTACTATATACCAGGCCCTCTCCTGGTTGCTGGTAATCCAAGAGAAAGCAAAGCAAATATGACCCTGGAGGACTTCCCATTATTGCAAGCTTAACTATTTTGTCCAGCATTTCTAGGTATTTTCTTACACAAGGGTTTTCAGGTCATCTAGTCTGACAGAGAAGCTGTACTTCTCTTGTATTATACAAGAAAACTAAGCAAAACTATTTATTAATAATTTGTCACACAATCTCAGATATCTCCAACTGCCTCATTTTATTTTTTTCTGTTTTTTTTTGTTTGTTTGTTTGTTGTTGTTTTTCTGTCCCTTAAAGCAGGGACAGCCTGCTAGTGCTAGGCTACTCCTAACGGGGTAGAGAGAAGTCCTCACTCCTGTAGCTCAGTCACAAGGGTGTATGAACATCTTTAATGTCATGTGGTACCATGAGGCTGCACAGAACATTTTGATGAATTTCAGATATATTTCAAACCTTTGCTATGTCTGCCTTTATTTAGTTTGTAGTATGTCCCAAGGTTTATAAATAGTCCATTTATGAAAATTTATAAAAATTTAGCCTGAACTATTTCTTTACCTGAGTACTTCCAGTATAATTAATGTAATATAAATATTTCTCCTTAAAATGTGCTTTTTCCTCATTCTTCATAAGGCATCACTGGAGAATGTCTTTTAGATTAACTTTGTAATTTAGCTTCAGACATGTCTTCATTTTATTTGAATTCTTACAAGTTTTAAGAAAAGCAATGTATATTCTCTTATTTTTCTTCCATTTTTAGGTCTGCAATATTTTGATAACATTTTAATCAATTAAGATTTATTGATTCATTTTATGTGCTTTAGCACTTTGCTAAGTATTATTGTGGTTATTAATGGACTATAAGACATTATCTTTGCCCACATGGAGTTTAAAATTTAATTGAAGAGAAATAAACTGATCATTAGACCACTATCTAAAGTGTTAATGGTGTGAGGCAAGGTTTGGAGTAGACCATAAAAGTTGATGAAGATTTGATTTGAGTGCTGTAGAGTGAAAGATCTTTACAAGCATGAACTCAGGGTGTACATTTGGGATAATGGGAAATCTAGTGAAAATGAAGGAGAGGGTTATCAGTAGTCCAGGAAGATTAGAATTGATGAAGTTGACAATAACGTGCCTGTATCAGTTGTAAGTTAGAGGTTGTAACCAGTATTTTAGGAAGCTGAGTGGGTCAGAGCAAGGGAAGGATGTCAACAAGAAGGCTTTTCAATTTGGGAAATCCAACTTAGATATAGTCTTCCTCCCCCCTGCCCCCAATGCACGTGCTAAGACTTTTAGGAAAAAAATTCTAAAATGTGTAGAGTCTGAAGGGACAGAGAACTGGATCAAAGCAACATTTTGAAGTAACCTGTTTTTCTTTCATGTGTTCCTACTTCCTGTCACTTTTCCCCTCCAAATCCCAATGAGTCCATCAGTGGGAAAATTTTCCTGCTGCCTGAAAAATGAGAACCCAGTATGATTGGGTTCCCCTGAGTTGGAAGATTGGGGAGACTTTAGATTAGGCACTAATTCTTAATCAGGATATCCCATAGAATTCTAAGAGGGTTCATAGATAAACTTTTGCTGTGCATGAATGTTCTGAGATTATATGTTATATGTTTGATTACATGCATTTTCTAGATAAGAGTTTCAAATTCTGAAAGAAGTCTCTAACCCTCTCCCCCTCACATTAATAATCATTGCTAAAGAGATTTACTTTCTATAAATCTCGGTCTTACCTCTTCAGAGACTACTGGAACCAAGTGGAAAGAAAACAAATGATTATATATGTTGAATTGTATCAAATTGATGATATTTAATTTAGTAGTTTTTGACATACAAAAACATCTTTTTTGTATGTATTCTTAAATAACCTCTAATATATTTTTAAATAACCTTTAATACATTTTAAAAATGTAAAGGTATTCACTTGAGTGTAGGTTTTAGTTAAACAGACTATATTCAAATTTGTATTTAAATGTATTTATTTGTTTCATTGTGGTAATTAAAATTAAATTCTGGTTATGTTTCCCCAGTTTCTACATTCCGTAAATTTAACACCTTTTGATATATGTGGTTTCAGGTTATGCACATGGGAGTTTTCTCTTGTGTATTTAAGGTTTCTACTGTGGTAAACTAGAACAGGGAAATGATAGAGAGATGAAAGATAGAAGAACCAAAAAAGGTGTATGGTATAGAAGGGCAGATTGGGGGAACTGATGCCACATGTTCAGTATTCCGTTAATTACTTTGATATAATCAGATTTCTTTGTTAACCAAAGTACTACATTTGTCAAAATGTGGATTGTATGATTTTCATAAGAAAACCAAATTTAACTATTTCTTGGAAGATTTCAGATAATCAGCAACAGTACGATTTAGCTCAGGTTTATTTCTTTCATTTTTGTTTTCATAATTTTAACTATCCTTTTTTTTCTAATTAAGAAAAAAATGAGAAAAATATAATTGGCATGAGGAAACACATTAAACCTATCTTTTTTTTTTTCTAGGTTGCTTTCTGACTCCAAACAGCTTGACATTTTAAGAAAAGCAAGATCTTATATAAAACACAGAAAGTTCAATGAAGTAGTAAGTACACAGCCCTTGCAGACATAAATAACTGATGATGATTTGGGGATTGGTGAGGGGCAAGGTGTGGCAATGGAGAACAAAGAAGACAGACCAGGGAGCTTTCCTAGCCTTCAAGGAAGGATTTGATTTCCTGAGTAGCTGCTTTAGTTATAGACATACTTCTCTTATTTCACATAATACTATGGGTAAATTTTTCTTGATTAGCATTAGAAATGAATTACTACTTTTTAAAATACGAAAATATATTCTCTATTCCAAGGCTGTCACCCTACTCATGTATGATATTTTAGAACACCAATTTGGAATTATCCATACATTATATATATTATCAGAAGTCTGTGATTCATATTGCAGCTTTGAATCTTCCAAACCCCTTCCCCACTATGTTTTTCATTTTTTTTCTTTGTTAAATGGTCATATGCTTTTAAAGTGGGAGAGAATTCTATTTTCAACTTCTAAAATTGCCTAAGTAATTGTCAATCCATGCATTTGTAATGTTTATTTTTTGTTGTGGTTTTAAAATGATAGGCTACCATTCTCCTTTAAAATATTAAGCTACTGTACTGATGTTATACAACTGATTTGATTATTCTGATATGAGAAAGCTAAAAATGATATAAATATGACCATTTTCATTATTTGGGACCTGTATTGGAGAACTTTCATTTCTTTCATGCGTTATGACCATTTTCATTATTTGGGACCTGTATTAGAGAGCTTTCATTTCTTTCATGCGTACTAGCTGAAGATCATTTCCACAAAATGAATCATTTTAAAAAACTATATATGTTAGATAGTTTATATTTAAAATGCCCTTATCAAGATTAAAAAGTTTACTTTATTCTGGATTTGTGTCATATTTCACAAGATCCTCAAACAATTAAAATCTATTCTTAACCCATTATCTACAATTACTCATTTTAATACAGTAATTTGACTGTTAAGAACTTTATAGTTTTCCTATCTTTGACATTTAGGTTTTCTTATTGTTTACATTCGCAAGTTATATATATATATGTTTTCTCCATAGGTCTCCCTTTGTAAGGAGCTGATTCATCTTGCGTTGAAAGGACTGTCCTATTATCACACATATGACAGATTCTTTTTGGGCACCAATGTGGTTATTGGTTTTGTGGGGTGGATAGCTTATACCTCTTTGTTCATCATCAAGTCTCATTCCAACCTTACAAGAGGTATTAGTAAAGAAGACAAGGTAGGTTCAGGAAATATAGTGACTCTTCAGATGATGGTGTAAACGTCGGGTGATGGTGTGAAAGAAGAAACTGAAATCCAATTTAATGAGTTTACAAAATGTGCAAGTCATTGTTCCAACTCTTATTTGTCTTTCATTTGCTTTTGTTGTGTTGGATCTTTTTTCAGTTATCTCTATTTCTTCAGCTGGGGAAAAACGTATTGATAATGGCCCTATGATTTAATATAGGATAACTGTATAAGTAATTTATATTATATGGTTTTAATGGTATTGATTTTCTGTTATTTTTTTATAACTATTAGGCATATTATAAGTATTCCATGTTGTTCTAGTACAGATGGTCAGAAAGCTACTTCAAAGCAATATATTTAACTTTATCTGTTATTAAAAGTTTAGGAGCTGGAAAGTGATAAAATTACTTGGTCAAAACGTTTTAAAATAATGTATATGTTTTTCTTTAATTTCTTTGAAATTTCTAAAATTTCCCAAAATACAAATTTCCTGAACTTCTAGTTATTCTTATTTTAAGAATTCATTTCTAGTTTACTGTGCTTTCAGTGAAAACTAAAATTTTTTTAACTCTTTAGTGAGGCTTCATATTACTGAAAAAGGTAATAGTACATATATGGTTTCACTAATTTAAGACACTTTATTCTTTTAGAATATATTGCTAACCATCATTTACCAGGGAGAATATGCCACTTCCATTTCCTTTGCTTCATTCTCTCTGATTATTACCATGCCCAAGTCCTCTAAAAAAGTAATATATCCTGATGGCGTATTTTTAATAATAATAGTCTGCAACTATTTCCAGCGGTAACTTTTCCAGTGTTATGTTTTGCTATTCTATATTGGAAGGAAGAACATTAGTGTTTATTATATTTTTATAATGCTTTAATGCATCTTAAATAATTTCCCCAAGTAATTTTAATTATTTGCATATATGTGAACTTGGCTGGAATGGGAGTAATTTTCTACATTGTAGGAAAGAAAAGAGACAGAAACTGTTGTGATTTAGTAATTAATATATCCAGATAGTCTACTGAGTACTTGCAATATATTCTGTTATCTTGGACTCATAACAGTGCTGGAAGTAGGTATTATCATTTCTGTTTACAAAAGAGGAGAATTATGTAATTTGTTAAAGGCCAGTCAGCTAGCATGGGAGGGACTGAGACTTGAATCCAGAGCAGTCTTGTGCCAAAGATTGCCTTTTCTTGTTTATCCTGATGTTCAAGTTATTGAGAAAGGATATGGTGCTTTTATATTGATACATCAACACAATTTCATAGTTGATACTTATTTATTCATTAATCTGATAATGTAGCCAATATTTAATTGAGTATGCAATACTATGCTAGATGCTGCATAGACTTTACAAAGAAATAATATCAGATTTTGCCCTCAAGGAGCTTAGAATTAAAGCAGGTAAGAGATGCACATAAATAACCACCTTACCAGATATAGGTCACTATATCTACACTATACTACAAAAGATAACTTTAATATATGTTAAGTGTTTGAGGTGATAAAAGACTATCATATTTTAAATAAATAAGAGCTCACTTTAACTAGGGTGATGACAACAGGAAAGTTTAAGTCTTGGTGGAAGTTTAATAGCCAGACTGCAGGGAGAGGGTGAGAAAGCAAAGTGAATGATGTAAACAGAGAAAGATTTGAGAAAATATTATACTGGAATAATAAATAATGTGTATTGGAATTTTTCCTTCAGGAAGCCTCAGTTCTGCTCTTTAAATCCTTGATTGAATTAGGCTAACTCTGATTGTTTCAGTTAATCTCCCATACTTAAGTCCCTGGCCCAGAGCATCCATGGGCCTGCCTATCACTAGTGACTTGCATCTTCCTATTTGATGGGTAGTTGGGAAGAGTACATGTGATTGAATGAACCTACTGTGTGTGGGAAATGGAGAGACAAATTTAGGCAGCATGTCAAGCTAGAGTTTGAATAGATAGAACATTGTTCCAGATGAAGATTAAGACCCATACTTTATTATGGATTATATAGATTTTTTGTGAGCTAGCCAGATAACTCAACCAGCATTTATAAAATTGTTCCTAAGAGGAAATTTGTTCAGAGTTCGGAACATGTTGCTTGCAAAGAAACTTTAGGACCATAGTCACCTTTAAGTTGAGAAATGCTTAATTACAACAATTTCAAGCTATCCAGCTTTTTCTTATGTAATATGCTTCTTAAATAATATATATATATATATATATATATATATTTAATGCAACTCTTTGATTCATCATCTAGTAGTAGAACCATTGAAAGAAAGTAATATGTTTTCTTCACTTTATAAAATCTCTTTTACAGCCTATCAAGTACCACAGGTTTGGTAGTTTTTCAATGTTTTGCTTGATTTTCAGAAACCAAGTCATCTCCTGCCATGCAGTTTTGCAGCTATTGGCGTTTCAGTAGCATTTTTTCTGCTGATTCAAGCCTGTCCCTGGACCTATTATGTATATTGTTTGTTGCCAGTGCCAATATGGTATGCGGTTCTAAGAGAGTAAGTAATGCATCTTGCTGCCTTGTTTTTTATTTCATCAGCAGTTAAACCTGTATCTAAAATGCATCTAATTTCTGCGCCATAAGTCATCAAAGATATTTAGAGTGCCACACTCTCAAATCTCCAAACCCTCTCACTTCATTTATAGCTGCATAAATGTTGCCGGTGAACCTCTTTGTTGTTACCCCCTCCCCTTTCATCTTCATCTTTATTGCCCTGAAGTAGCAGTGACCTCGTTCCCTTATCAGTGTATCTTTTATAAGAAAAAATCTGGAATAAAAGTAACATAATTAATACTGATTATACAAATGCCTACAGAAACTTACGTTTTGAACTTGTCTCATCATCTCAGATTCCAGTTTATCTTCATGTTTTACAGAGAATTTGTGCATTCTTTTGTGATGCATTTTACACCTCCTTCCTCAGCCATAATATAAACCTAGATCAATGAAACTTCGTAATTAAATATGATATAGTAATGTATACACACCGATTAGTTCATATGATGAACATGTTCTATAGTTCTACCTCTAAGTATTTCCTCACAATTTGGACTTTAGATTCTTAACATTGTAGAAAACCTCAAAAGTAAGGCTCTTCAAAGAGTTTCAAATGCTTTTAAATAAAACCACTAAAACATGGTAGTAGTTCATGTTTACCAGTAGCAAACATCATACTATGGATCTTGTTGATTTCTGTATTTGTGCCAGTAATCTAAATTTAAATTCAGTCTTGGATATCAAAAGTATCCTCTGAGAAAACCAGACCCTTAAAGTAGATAAGGGAATGACAACCCATAATAGGAGTATCCTCAAGACTGACTAACATGTACATCATGACACGATGCATACTTCAGCTTTGAGTACTTCTTCCATCTTTTAAAACCATGAAGTATTAATATTTAAAAGTTAAAAATGTCAAATTAAAATAGAATTAAAATGTTAAAAATATTAGCTATTTTAAAACATAAGACAAAAATACTGACCGAAGAACATACTGTTATTTCTCTATTTGAAAGGAATAGGGTTGTTGGGTATGCATGTTTAGTTCAGATTTTTTAAAATGTGTTTTATCCTGGTTTTAAAACTTTTAGAATGAAAGATTTTATCTTTGCAGAAAATTATATATACCTCAGAACTCCTCCTGGATTATTAAATGTCCTATTTATGAAGACAGCATATATATTTAAATTGTAAGGGGAAATATGATTTTGAAAGTATTATGATCTATTTTTATCTTTTTGATAGATTATATAGAAAATAAGGCATAAAAAATCTTTTTTTTTTTTTTTGGAAGAAAAATCTTAATGATTTAACATAATTATCTCCTGTTCCTCTGTACTTCCTCACTGTTGAGAACAAAAGAAACATTTTCTTTTTGACTGGTGTTAGCTTTTCTTTCCTACCTGGTATCTTAATAATTTTGATAACATTCTGCAGCCATTGCTTTTAATCAGGAAAAGGTCATAAACCAAAGGATACTGACCTTTTATTATTAACTACTTAATAATGTACTACAAATAAGTTTTTTTCCCAATGATACATTCTTGATAGTTGTGGATTCATTTAGTTACAATTAGTGTACAGTTAGTGATATCTTAAATTGGGTTTGGAAAAGCTTATTTAGCTCAGTTTAAAAGTGTAATTAAGATTTTCCCTATCCAGATTATGAAAACCTGCCTTTATTTCATTTAGACAGCTGAGATTTAAACATAAGATTACCTAGATGAATTTTTAAAAATTTTCAGTTTGTGTGTGTTTAGGTTCATTGTATATTATATCTGATATTATATCTTAATTGTATGAACTCATATTTAAACTAGGATCAAACAAGATTTATTTATTGTCATTAATGTTTGTAAAAATCAAGCAAACATTTGTGATCATTTCCAATTAACGACTTTCAAATTAATTCGGAAATTAGGTTTTCCCTAAAATGTAGATTTAAAAAAATTTTTTTAGGTAAATAAAGCCCATAAAACAAATCTGTTAGAGTTTACCTTAGTTTTTAAATAATCTGTGAATGAAAAATTTCCTAATTTTTAGCTTTGTGCAGTTTGTATTTTGTAATATATTTGACCTAATTTTAAAATTTAATACAGAGTATAAATAGTAATTTTATAAATACTTTTTTGAAACAGATTTCAAGTTATTCAAGACCTTGTTGCATCACTGTTCTCCTTTCCTCTGAGCCATTTTGTTGGGTACCTGTTAGTCTTGACTCTGGGAATTGAAGTATTAGTAAGTAATTTACTACATTACAATATTTACATATTTCTTTCATATATTTGCAACTTAGTAATTTAGTATGAAATGACCTCAATTTTCGTTTCTTCCTTGGAATGCATTACTAGGTTCTCAGTTTTTTCTACCGCTATATGCTTACTGCTGGACTTATTGCATTTGCGGGCTGGCCATTTCTCAGTCAGCTATGGACTCGAGCAAAGGTATGAGTACTCATTCTGACATAGGACAGACTAGTAACTACTTTGTTTTGATATGCGCTTAACTCAAGAACTTGTTTATTTTTAAAGAAAATGTAGAATTTGTCTTTACATAAAAGAGTCTGGTCATAGATTGGAAGACTGACATTACCTGTAAGGTTTCAGTGATTCACTTAGACTTTCACATCAAAATGAGCCAGTTGTGTGGTAATTGAAATGCCACAGAAGCAGAGCACTTCCTTGTTTCCTTTAACTTCAAATATGTAGATGACAGAGCAGGTGAGGAACTGCCTAGAGCAGTACAGTGGCTTAGAGGGCCACACTCTGAACTTAAGTCAGGAGTCCCTGCCTCCTTGCCCTGAGCCATTCACTTTTGTTTTCTGGAGAAGTATATATTCATGATAAATTATTTTAAAATATAAGTAATGGTAGTCACTATCTGTTTGGGGAGGGGGGACATACCTCATCAACAAGGGTACCTTAACAGTGAATATTTGTACACCTAACTCTTAACTGTACCCCACAATTTAAAAATAAAAAATATATATAATTTAAAAATAAAATAAAATATAATTACTCTTTTTTTCCTTCAGCTAGGTAAGGAATTACAATGTGCTTCTACAAAGAATACTCTCATGCTTTTTTACTTTGATACTTTTTGATGGCGATAATATCTACTCTAAGAGAATCAATAAAAAATCCCCAATTAATGGAATTATTGATCTTTTTTTGGTCTTAATGTAATTACAAAAGTATTTTTATTTCTTTTCATTCTGGACCCAGTCATTTATCATTGCAGGCAGTTTTCTATAGATGTCATAATCAATATATGGTCTAACAAATTAAATTAAGCACTTGCTTTAAAATATCAGACACAAGCTTAAATCAAGGTTGTTTCATTTACTGGCTGTGAACATGGTACTAATTGTATTTTAACTTCTCTGGGCTCAATATCCTAATCTGAAATATTGTAGATAATAAAACCTACCTCTTGAGGTTATTAGAATTAAATGAGATAATGCTCATATTATACCTAATACAGTACCTACTATGCAACTGGTCCTTTACAAATGGTAACTGTTACTTTTTAAAGTAAACAGCTGTAAGGTTTTGCATTTTCCCTTTAGTTTTTTAGTCATTTAGTCTGTGAAACACTGATCACAATTTTCTATACCATACTTGCCTAAAGATAACTTTGTTTTGTTTAGATCACCTCACTGAGTTGGACTTTCTTCTCTTTGCTCCTGGCAGTGTTCCCACTGATGCCAGTCATAGGTCGGAAGCCAGACATCTCTCTAGTGTATGAATAATACTCTAATTTATTATCTTTTCAATGTTATTTTTTTCTCAATGTACACTGTGAAATTTGAACCTAATCTTGGTCATGAGCGTAAAATCATATGAACAAACTGAAAGCTAAGATATTAATATCAAACCCATTAGTCATGATTTTGGCCTAGGGTCTGAGAGTCATTAAGCCTCCTTGGAGATTCTTCTGGGCCTTCACAAACTATGAAATTGTGCCAAACAATGATAACTTAAACATAAAAAAATAAATAAAGAGAGAGAAAGTCTAGGAGGTTTTCTTTCTTTTATACACTGGGGAATCAGTAAAAGTTTTAGTGTCATATGAAAAGATGTTCCGTTGCCAACACAAAAAGGTCTAAAAGCTATTGTATTATCTGTCTTTGCCTTTGATCATGTCTATGCTAAAATGTCTTTAAAAAGTGAAATTTTCTCCTATTCTAAAATGAATGTAAAGATCTCCATGGGAGGAAACTCTATGTACCTTGACAATTTTCTCATGTTTAATCTGTCAAATCAGTAAAAAATTCTTCTGTATATCTTCTCTTAATTCCCCATTATGCTGTTACATATATTTCTCTTCAATATGACCTAAATAAATCTGTAAAATAATTGGTTCCCTTTGCTTTTAACTGCACTTTTAAATTACTGTCAAGTAGCCTACTGGTGGTGTGTGTGTGTGTGTGTGTGTGTGTGTGTGTTTGTGTATTAAGCTAAATGATCATTATTTTGTTAAATATTTTTTCTTATTTTCTAATTACATAATCATCTTTGTTACTTTCTTCTGAACTCTATAGGCTTTTAAAAAACATTTTATCCAGATCTTTAATAGATGAAGGTATATCTTTTTTAACTGAGATTAGACTAGATTTTTTTTAAAGTATGTGCTAATTTTTGAGGTTCTATACATTTTCTCTCATTTGTATGAGAATATTAATATGGAATGGATCGGAACTACCCCAGGAAGTTATTTTACTAGCAGAGCCCAAAATAATTGTATTGAATTCCAAGATCATACTATATTCTAAGCCATATTAGAGTGTTACTAAGTCAAAACATTTTGGAATTGTCATAAGCTGTAAATAGTATGTGAGAAAATTAATCAAAATATTATTTATTTATTCATTGTTTCAGATTGCTATGTAAGCTCTTTTATTGTTTCTGTAATGCCTCTTTCCTTCTCTTCATCTGTCTCTGCCTATCAGCTCTGCTCATGTTGTATTGACATAGTTAAGTAGAATTTATCATCTGCTAAAAGGAAAGGAAATTGTGTAAATAGTCTCCATAGAAACTCACCACTTGCATATTCCATTAAGGGTGAATCCAAGAAGTAAACAAACTTGTTAAAATATGAGAAATCTAATTTGTATTTTTAAAAATTATATTGTTTCCTCTAAGTTTAAATTGCTTGGTGATTTACAATTTTACGTTAGTTTTCTACTAGCTGTATTGCAACTTCTTTATTTTGATTCCTGGTTTATGGAGAAATTTCTCCTCTTCATGTGATCTCTCATAGCATCTTCCTTCTTTTACAAATATGTAATTTTGTGAGACATTTAAGAATGAAATCAAAAGAAAAATAAAAAATATGTACAACATAGCTGCAATGTCCCTGTTACTCCAGTGCACTCAAGTAAAAACATTTGCCAATGAATTAAAATACCAAATTATTTAAAAAATTAAAAACAGAAAGACAAAAATAAGCAGGGAATCTTGATCACGCAAGGCTATTGTCCCTAAATTTTAACGATAATCTATGTTGGATATATAACTAACTACTTTTTTCCTTATGTGACTACATTTGAAGAATCAAAAACAAGCAAGCAAACAACAATCAAGCATTTTTCTGGGAATTCCTGTTTTGCATTCTTTTTAGGTGTCCAGCCCGGCCTTTGACTCTTTCTGAGTTCTCTAAAACCAGCTCCTTTTCTCATAGTTCTGTTCTATTTGAGTTCTAGATTCTGTCCTCTACATAATTTCAGTTGTGGTATGTTATTCAGATTTGTAGGAGGTGAGAAATAGAGCACAATAATAATGCACCGTTCCTTGCTGTCAGTCTTCTTTGACTTCAGGAACTATATTGTACCTTTTCTTGAAAAGTATAACTTGTTTCATTATTGTGCACATTCCTCACCGGCATGCTGCCTCTGTGGCTTCTGTCCTCCCACTTTTTTTTTTAGCAAAGGGCAGCTGAGGAAGCTGAGTGACAGGAAGGAGCTGTTTGTCCTGCTAGAAATAATATGGTTTTATAAATGTAGATCTTTTTTTGCATGGGTACATTCTCATTGTCACAAAATGTATGTTGTAGATACTGATAATGTATTTGTTTGGTTATCTTTTACATGGTGTTTTGTAAATTTGCCCAATTCAGGATAAACATTATAAAGTTGGTATGCTTAAAATGTTTAAAAATCAAATTATAGAAATAAGGTAAAGATACTTAAAAAACTGTAAGGACAGATTACAGATAACCCCATTCATACAGTATCTTTAGCCAAAGATTTTTCTTTATGTCATACCTGTGTATCTATATTGCTATTTCATCTTGATTAAACCAAATGACTGACAGGTTCTATGTTAGTACAGTGTCTCATGTTTTCATATTATGTGTGCTCAGTAAGTATATTAAGAAAATTTTAAATTGTGAATTTTATTTTAAAACAGAATGGGTTCAGGCTTGCTGGTTCTTCTGCTGTCCCTGTATGTTGTAGCATATCTCATAAAAAGAAAAAACAGTTTTATAAAGGAAGACCTGTTGGTACATCTATTGCAGGTCAGTTAAAGATTTTCAATACTATGTTATGCTATTAATGCACCAAAATGTATACTATGGTTGCATTTAATTAAGTTCTTAAGATACCATGTGTCACTCAATATCCATCAGCTGAGAAGAAAGTTTTCTAAGACACCACATAGAGATATGTTTTCTAAAAGGTATGAAGTAGCAAAAAGGTTCTCAAGAGGTATTCCAAAGATGCCTAAAGAGCAGAGGCTTAGGAAACTTATAAGGCATCTGTATTGACCAAAAAGTTGAGCTGAAAAGGACTTCCTCTGGACTGAGATTCTATTTTTGTCCTTATTTGGGGCAGGGAAAGACAAGTTTCTTTGAAGTAAAAGCAGCCTGGGGTATGCTTATATTAAGAATAGCTAGTTTAATAGTTCGTAATGTCCTAGGAGAAAATAAACTTCAGTTTGGTTGGTGGATTTGGTGTGGCGAAAAGAATTTTTAACTTGGAGAATTTCAAAATTGAATCAACTCCTAGCTATTCTATACCCTGCATGTGTGATTTTTAGTAATTTGTCTTCAGTTTTTTGTTTTTAATCTGTAAAGTAGAGATAACACCTAATAAGGCTGTGAAAATTAAAGATTATATAATGTAATATTCTGTAAAGTAACTTTTTTATAGATAAGGATGGAAATCACAGTTTTTTTTTTTAAATAAATAAATATCCACATCTAGAACACAGGCAGAAAACAAAACTCATTTGAGTTTTTTTTTAATTTTTGCAAAATAAAGCTGGAATAGTAGAAAATATTTCCAAGAACACTCTGAAGTAAAAATTTTCAACACTTCAAAGATGATATCATAAGTTAAATTCATTCTTGGAGAGCAACAGAGAACTTGTAAAAAGAGAAGAAATATTGTGTCAAAGGTCCTGTCAAGCTGTTGGAACGTGTGTTTCATGTTAAATAGTATTCTGATTGGCTTTACACTAAAGCTATAATCATTTTGACAGAATGCATCTTTAATAATGAGTGCTTTGACAGAAGTGAATGTTTCTGAATCTCACTCCAGAGAAGCAAAGAATATCATGCTAAAATTCTTATATGCTTTGTTAGACATACTCCTGAGTATTGGGTAAATTAATTGCAAAATTCTTTTTTGCATCAGCTTTATTAATTTGCATAAGTTCCTGTACTGCCTACCATATTTCACTGATTCCAAAGTACACATTTTTTTGCGTATTTTAACATCTCTGAAATAAGAATGTGTCTTACAACTGAAAGGATTCTAGGATTGTGTTATAGCTTTATTGGCAGCATTTTTTCCTCTTAATGCATTGAAAATATGAGAGTAAATTAAATATAACTGCAGGCTTTGGTGATGAGACTGCTAATCTGATCTCTAAAAGAGCCCCTTTCGTTCACAGTCATAACTTAGCTCATTTCTTAAAATGGCAAGGAATTCACCATTTCATGTCTCAACAAACATTTTCTGAGATAGTAAATATTTTAGGCTGATGGAGTCTGTTGCAGGTTTTCAACTCTATTATTGTACTGCAAAGGAAGACAACGTGTAAATGAAAGGCAGTAACTATGTTCCAATAAATCAGTACTTATAAAAACGGGCTGACAGCCTAAAAGCTGTAGTTGCCACCTTCTACACTAGTATATCCAATATTCTCTGAAGAGTGTTTATATTCCTTGTATTTCCAGGCCATAAAAATGTGTTGAATGAATATATTGATGTTGCTGTGGGAGAGCCAGAGGCAGAGGCACTAGGCCACACACACTAAATTATGTACATTCTATACTCTTCGTTCTCATAATTTAAGCAACCTTCAGTATTTATAAAAAATACTTCTAAATAAAAACAGAGTGAATGATATTTGCTAAAACACTCTTGAAAGTGTAAAATGCCTCATTTCGTGCTTGGGAAGGAGGACTTGTACTTGGTGCAAAGCACTAATTCTTGGTCTTGGCCACAAGAAGGTGACCTACAATGATCTCTGTAGTACTTTGGCCAGATTCTAAATTGTTACTAGCACTTTTATAGTATACAGTCTTTCGCCACCTGCTCTTTTTTTTTACCTGTTTTTTTTTTTCTTTCAGATGCTGAGCACAGTGCTCTCCGTGTATGTTGTGTATAGCACCCACAATAGTCTACTCAAGAAACAAGGACTGCCTCTTATGAATCAAATTGTCAGCTGGGCAACATTAGGTAAGAGGCCACTGAAACCAAATGAGATAATTTTATGCCAACTTAAATATATTAAATAGATCCATTCATGTCTGTATTAATGTTATTGAAAGAAATCATTTTGTGGCCGAAAATAATTTCTATCTTTTGCTGAAATCTAACAGAGAATTAGAATTCGTATAAACATGCATGTGTTAATAAGAATTACTTGATGGAATATTTATGATCTGATAATAAAGCTATGTGTTTCTGGGCATAGTGGCTCATGCCTGTAATCGCAGCACCTTGGGAGGCTGAAGTGGGAGGATCACTTGAGGTCAACAGTTGAGAGCAGACAGTGAGTTCCCATCTCTACAAAGAATTTTTTTTTAAAGCAACCAAAATTAGCCAGGCATGGTGGTCTGCGTCTGTGTGCCTAGCTAGTTTCTCAGAAAGTTGAGATGGGAGAATCCCTGGAGCCCAGGAGTACGAGGCTGCAGTGAGCCATGATTGCACCATTGCACTCTAGCCTAGGCGACAGAGTGAGACTCCAGTCTTTAAAAAAAACAACAAAAAAACCCCAAAACAAATTCTGTGTATTTATTAACATTTGGTTAGATTATCTTGCATAATTCCAAAAGAAAAGAGGGTTTCGTGAAGAGGGTCTTATGCTTAATTTTCATGCCAGTTCACAAATTTTCAGTTCTTACACAAGGACTAGGAAATGGTTAAATTTTATCTGTGTTTCCCTTCCTGAAAATACACATTGAGTACACATTACACAATTTATGAAACGAGTTAAAACCAAATGGACTTAATTGATACCTACAGAACACTCCATCCAGAGACCAGAGAATACACATTCTACTCATCACTGCATTGGACATATTCCAAGATCGACCACATACTTGGCCATAAATCAAGCATAAGCAAATATAAAAAGACAGAAATTCTACCATGCACATTCTTGGACCACAGTGGAATAAAAATAAACATTGACACCAACAAGGTCCCCCCCAACCCACAAAGATATGGACTCCTGGATCAATGATGAAATCAAAACGGATATCAAAAGATACCTGGAAGCAAATGAAAATGAAGAAACATCTTACCAAAATCTCTGGAATGCTGTAAAAGCTGTAGTAAGAGGGGAATTTATATCCTTACAAACACACATGAAGAAAATAGAAGGAGCACAAATTAATAGCCTAGCAAGCCACCTAAGGAAGCTGGAAAAGCAAGATCACAAAAACACTAACTTCAGCAGAAGAATCCAGATCACCAAAATAAAAGCCCAAATCTAGGACATAGAAGACAAAAAGACAATACAAAAAAATCAATGAAACAAAAAGCTGGTTCTTCGAAAGGATAAACAAAATCGATGGTCCCCTAGCTAGACTGACCAAAAAAAGAAAGAAAAAACCCAAATAAGCACAATCAGAAACACAAAAGATGAAGTCACATCTGACCCTGAAGAAATACAAAAGATCATCAGAGACTACAATGTACACTTGTATGGAAACAAACTTGAAAACCTCAAGGAAATGGAAGACTTTCTGTCATCACACAACCTGCCTAGGTTGAAACAAGAAGAAATTGAGAACCTAAATAGACCAATAACAATCAGTGAAATTGACTATGCAATAAGAAAACTACCTACAAAAAAAGCCCCGGACCAGATGGCTTTCCAGCAGAATTCTACAAGACATTTAAGGAGGAACTATTCTAATCCTACTGAAGCTATTTCAGGTGATTGAGAAAGATGGAACCCTCCCCAAATCATTTTATGAAGCTAACATCATAGTGATACCCAAACCAGGTAAAGATCCAACAAAAAAAGAGAACTACAGGCCAATATCTTTGATGAACATAGACGCTAAAATTCTCAACAAGATCCTAGCAAACCGGATTCAACAACACATCTCAAAAATCATCCATTATGACCAAATAGGCTTCATTCCTGGGACGCAAGGCTGGTTCAACATTCACAAAACAATAAATGTAATTAAATACATCAACAGATGTCAAAACAAAAACCACATGATTATATCATTAGATGCAGAAAAAGCTTTTGATAAAATCCAGCACCCCTTCTTGATAAAAACCCTTGAACATCTAGGCATACAGGGAACATACCTCAAAGTAGTAAAAGCCATCTATGAGAAACCCACAGCCAGCATACTCCTAAATGGACAAAAATTGGAACCATTTCCCCTGAAAACTGGAACAAGACAAGGATGCCCACTCTCACCCCTCCTGTTCAATATAGTATTGGAAGTCCTGGCTAGAGTGATCAGAGAAGACAAGGCAATCAGGGGTATCCAAATAGGAAAAGAGGAAGTCAAATTATCTCTCTTTGCAGATGACATGATCGTATACCTGGAAAACCCAAGAGAATCTGTCAAAAACCTCCTTACACTGATAAAAGCCTTCGGCAAAGTCTCAGGATATAAAATAAATGTGCAAAAGACAATCGCATTTCTTTACATCAGTATTAAACAAACAGAAACCTAAATAAGAAGCACAATTCCATTCACAATAGCAACAAAAAAAATGAAATACCTTGGCATCTTCCTAACCAGAGACATGAAAGACCTTTACAATGAAAACTACATAACTCTGCTCAAAGAAATCAAATATGACACAAACAAGTGGAAAAATATCCCATGCTCATGGATTGGAAGAATCAACATTGTGAAGATGTCCATCTTACCTAAAGCAATCTACAGATTCAATGCAATACCTATCAAATTACCAGCAACATTCTTCTCAGAGCTAGAAAAAAACAACACAGAATTCATATGGAAACACAAACAACCAAGAATAGCCAAAACAATCCTCAGCAAAAGAAACAAAGCAGGTGGTATCACATTACCAGACTTCAAACTTTACTATAAAACTACAATCATCAAAACAACTTGGTATTGGTATAGGAACAGGCATATAGACCAATGGAATAGAATTGAGATTCCAGAGGCAAGACCTCAATTTCTCAACCAACTCATCTTCGACAAAGCCTCCACCACCTACCACTGGGGAGAGGAGAACCTATTCAGTAAATGGTGCTGGGAAAACTGGCTGACCACATGCAGAAGATTGAAACAGGACCCCTATCTATCCCCATACACAAAAATTAACTCCAAATGGATCAGGGACCTAAATATAAAACCTCAAACCATAAGAACCTTAGAAAATGAAGGACATACCCTCATGGAAATTGGAACTGGTATCCAATTCCTGAACAAAACTCGAAACCCACAGGCCATAAGGGATAAGATAGACAAGTGGGACCTCATTAAACTGACAAGCTTCTGCAAAGCCAAAGAAACTATCAAGAGAGCAGGAAGACAGCCTACAGACTGGGAAAAAGTATTTGCCAACTCCAGATCTGACAAAGGCTTAACATCCTGGATCTACAAGGAACGCAAACATGAAGAAATGCTCAACCTCATTAATCATCAGGGAGATGCAAATCAAAACCACACTGAGATGCCACCTAACTCCAGTCAGAATGGCAATTATCAATAACAAAAAATAATAGCTGTTGGAGAGGGTGTGGCAAAAAGGGAACACTTCTACACTGTTGGTGGGAGTGTAAACTAGTGTAACCTCTGTGGAAAGCTGTGTGGCGATTCCTGAAAGCTCTAAACATCAACCTCCCATATGACCCTGTAATCCCCCTACTGGGAATATACCCTGAAGAACTCGAATCACTCTGTAAAAAAGATACCTGCACACGAATGTTCATTGCAGCATTGTTCACAATAGCTAGAACCTGGAACCAATCGCGCTGTCCATCAAAAGAGGACTGGATAAAAAAAAATGTGGTACATATACACGATGGAATACTAATGCAGCCATAAAAAAGAACAAAATCATGAATTTTGAAGCAACCTGGATGGAGCTACAGTCTATAATACTAAGTGACCTCTCACAGAAACAAAGATCTGAGTACCACATATTCTCACTCATATAGTGGACCTTGATCATCCAGTACACTACTATAAGAAAATGACTGACTGTTGGGAAACTATGGGGGGGGATGGGACTAATGGTAGTAAACATCTGTCTAGAGACGGGGAGACACTAGTTATCAACAAGGGGGCCTGAATGAAGCATATTTGTATACCTAACCCTTAACTGTACCCCACAATATCAAAATAAAAAATATCGATTAAATAAAGATAAAAAAAACTTTCAAAGCATATTCCTCTAGGTAGTACTCTTTGTTGGTTTTTTTTTTTTTGACTTGAAGTCTCACTCTGTCGCCCAGACTGGAGAGCAGTGGCCACCCACAGCCTCGACCTGCTGGGCTCCGGCAATCCTTCCATCTCAGCCTTCCGAGTAGCCGGGATTACAGGCATGCGCTACCACGTCCTGGTGATTTTTTGATTTATTGTAGAGATGAAGTCTCGCTGCCCAGGCGGGTCTCGAACCCGCGGGCTCAGGCAATCCACTCACCTCAGCCTCCCAAAGGCGCGGGATTACAGGCTGAGCCACCGAACCCAGCTCTAGGTAGTACTCGTAATTAGGAATGTTGGAGGCCAGGCAATGGTGACTCATGCCTGTAATCCCAGCACTTTGGGAGGCTGAGACTGGAAGGTCACTTGAGACCAGAAGTTTGAGACCAGCTTGGATGATCACATCTCTACAAAATAAAAACCCAAAATAGCTGAGTGTGGTGGTGCATACCCATAATCCCAGCTACTTGGAAGGCAAAATTGGGATGATTGCTTGAGTTTAGGAGTATGAGATTGCAGTGAGCCTCACACCACTGCATTCCAGTTTGGGCACAGAGTAAGGTGCTGTCTCAAAAAAAAAAAAAAAAAAAGGATGTTGGAATGTATGTGTAAAGCAAGCATATACAATTTGAGGGCCTAGATTTTCCATTCCAGTTGAAAGGTAAGAGCAAGCTTTAAGTACAGATTTTCATTCAGAAAAGATACTTTGTACCCCTGTGAATGATTCAACATACAATTTAACCTTTATATTCTTTAATAATATTTGTTGTTCATTATCAAAGAAGGAAAAGATCTTTGAAT